TGCTGAACAAGGAAGGATCGGGGGGAAGTGAGGTCTTGTCATATTTTGAGGTTGATCCTCCAATTCTGAGGTTAATCTGTGTTATGGGAAGATTTCTTTTGCCAGTTTAATGTTATGCCAGTAACTTATTACCTGAGTTGTGTTCACATACTTTTAACAAATCAGCTCATCACTTGACAGGTAAAAAATATTGAATGCTGAATGTGTATGTGAAATAAGCCCTTTCTTTCATAGTTGTGAACACTTATTATTGAATTCTTATAATTTCTGATTGGTTTTATCAAACTTGTCTGTCTTGGCAGTGGGGTTACTGCTCCCATACAGTGGTGTATTCATATACCCGACCTGACCGCCCTGAGTGCTGTGTCATATTTTGGGACACAAAAAATAATGAGAAGTATGTGAAATACGTCAAGAGCCTTATTTCCATAACAACCTGTGGAGACTTCTGTGTTTTAGCAACTAAAGCAGATGAAAATCAACCTCAGGTAAAGTCTGTATTTGAATTTTCACTTAAAATGCTGTTCCACATGTCAGTGCTTTACAGCCAGAATAAGATGAATTGTAAAAGTCTGAATCTGTCTGAGTTGTGTCAGCTGTCATTTGACAGAATGGCACTTGAACGGGCTCAGTGTTTAAAAACAAAGAACCCCAAGGAAACAAATAGCAAAAATGTGCAGAACTGATTAACTGCCTCTATAGTTTAATTCCTTGTAGCTGTTAGTAACCTAATGAAAACTGCAGCCTTCCTGATTAATGTTTCTTTAGAAATACTTAGAACAATTCTGCAAAGACAAGCTAAAGGCAGGAGAGCATCAGAATGGTGATAAATCAGTCAAAAGTGGAACCAAAAGGGGAGTTTTTTAGGTGATATAAATTACATGATACTGCAAGCTGGTCTGTTTAGTGATTTGTTTTATATGTAGTGACAAATTATATGATAAATTTATCCTTTGGTTACTGAATGTTCAGTTACTGTGATGCTAACTGTTACAGGATTTTTCTTATTGTGTTCACTTCTGAAGTATTTTGTATATCACTTGTGTATTGCTTACAAAGGAGGAGCATGAGACAGAGTCATTTGGTGCAATGGTAAAAACAAACATGCCTTAGTGCTGCTTTGCTTGCTTGTGCAATAAGTGGTGTACTGTCATATGGATTGAAAATATGGGATACATGGCCAAAAGCATTTGGTGAAGTTGAGTGCAATAAAATGAGGGGGTTTTGGGTTGTATTTTTAAAATAGGAAACAGACAGTGGAGAGACTTAGCATAACTTTCTTGAGCATAAATAAGAGTTCTAATTTTAGCCTCTGAACATTGCAGATAATAATAACCTTTTAGTTCTTTTTTAAATGGCCCCAGTGTAATTATTAACACTGTGAGGGGCCAGCTTTTAAAGTGCACAAGCTTTTGGGTAGCAGTCCATCAGAGTTGCTTTCTGAGAAACAGATTTGTTATGCAAGAGATTTTGGTCATTAGAATTGTAATTTCAAGATGGCAGAATGTACAGCAATAGCTGTTGGGGCAAAAAAGGCTAATTTTAGCAGGGCCTTTTTAAAGGTATTGCTAGTGGATGTGAGTGTCAGTAAGTTAGGAAGGACTTAATGTTGCTACCCAGGTCAAGGCTGGATAAATCTGACAGTTCAAGCTCTCTGGCCCTGGCACCACTCTGTGTAGGCCATACAGTCTCTGTCTTGGATACTGTTCCTCCATTGCCCTTGGCAGGCTCTGATCTGATGTGGAGTCTCAGAAATAACTAAAAATGGTATAAAAGAGAAATTTATTATAGAGTGAGTGTTGGGATGATTCACAAGAGAAGAATTAATATAATCATGATGGGAATAAAAAATAAAGAGTTAAAAAAGCCAGGTGTAGTTTCCTGCAGAGGTGGAGGCTTAATTTAATTTTTGAAAGGTGTAACTCATGAATGAAGAAATAAAAATACTTTTTGAGAGGTGTTTATTGGTGGCAGAACCAGAAAAAAATAAATTATTTAATGAAAAGAAATTGTTGTTAAGATATTTTTCTTTGAAAGAGTGAAGTTCATAAAGTAGATGAAAACCTAAATTTGGCTGTTATCATGTGATTAATAAGCTGTCAGTGTGTCAGTTTTAAGGGGTAAGTCGTACAGTTGCTGTATTCTGCTACCACAATTACATGAACTGTTCAGGAGGTGAAACAGCTATGAAAAGCTAATTATCTTTCATATCCTGGAGAGTCAGGATAAGCTCTTAGGTGATTCAGGTTTTGGTAGCCCCATATGTTTTATTTATTTTTATTTTATTTTAAGTCTAAAGACCTGATGGTAAAAGTTGCTCCTTAATTTCCTGTTGTGGTTTAACCCTGGCTAGCAACGAAACACCACATAGCCACTTGCTCACTCCCCACTAGCGCGAGGGTGGACAGAATCAGAAGGGTAAAAGCTAGAAAACTCATGGGTTGAGATAAAGACAGTTTAATATGGAAAGCAAAACAAGGAATTAGTTCACTGCTTCTAATGGGCAGGCAAGAGTTCAGCCATCTCCAGGAGAGCAGGGCTGAATCTCACATAACAGTTCCTTGGGAGGACAAACGCCGTCACTCCAGATGTCCCTCCTTCCTCCCACTTTATGCACTGAGCATGATGTCATATGGTATGGAATATCCCTTTGGTCAGTTTGGGTCACCTGTCCCAGCTGTGTCTCCTCCCAACTTCCCATGTACCCCCAACTTCCTTGCCAGTATGGCAGTACGGAAAGGAGAAGAGGCCTTGGCTCTGTGTAAGCTCTGCTCAGCAATAACAAAATCATCTCTGTATTATCAGCCTTGTGCCCTGCACAAATCCTAAACATAGCCCCATACTAGCCACTGTGAAGGAAGTTAGCTCTGCCCAGCCAAAACCAGCACATTTCCACACTTTCCATTCAAGACGTTTCCCCGTGTAATCATCATTAATTTATTTAATCCTTAATTTACGTCTGGAGGAGTAAATACATCAGCTGCAGCGATGATGCATTGGTATCTAGGTCAATTTTTGTTTTATTTGCACCTTCCTGCGTTTAACAGCCCAATCTGACGTACCTTTGCTACCAAAGCCTTCCCCAGCAGGATTACAAGAAAGGCAAACCTAACAAAACTCATGAGTTTTGTAGTACCTGCAGCAGTGCAAGGCAGAGGGAGAGCCTTATTTACAATTCTCCCCACACTGTTACCCTTTTGGAAGTTCAAGGAGATGAAGGTCTGTAAAGGATAGAACAAAGGCCTAACTTGTGGGAATTCATTAGATTATCTTTTGCATGAGCAGCTGATGAGTTAAGTCACTGAGTCGCTGGCGTTTCATGCTCGTAAATAATCATTGTACAGTGTGTGCCTCACACAGCAGCAGGTGAGACACTGCCTGTCTTGTTCACATGTTGTCTGTGGGCTGTGCTGCTGGTACACCCTACCTGTTGTATTTTGTCTGGTAGATTTGGTCCTTTGCTTAAAACTTCTGGTCATTTTCCTGTTTTGTGCTTGTTCTTCATTTATGGTGCTAATTGGCAAATAACTCATTACTCTCATGCTTATGCTGCTCTGTATTTCCTGCAGTCATGGTCCCTCTGTTTTCTGTTCCTGATCAGCATTAGGCTGTGTGGCATGTGGGTTATGAGATGCACCTTCACAGAAAACCTTGCCCAGCTTACTGATTTACAAGAAGTCTGGTAGTAATGACACTTGCTTTTGTTCCCATGCAGTATGTGCTGGTTCTCTGCAATTCTATTGGCACACCCTTGGACCCAAAATATATTGATATCGGTAAGCAACTTGCAGTAGTCTTAGTCTGTTCATTTTTTTCTTGTCTTTGTAATTAATTTCTCATGCAGGTCTGTTTTTCATTGAAGTAATCACTCTGTATTAACTCCCATTGCATGCAGATATTGTGACCTATTCTATGTGTGGTTGTAACTGTGGTTTTATATTGATGTCTCACCTCTTGGACTCTCCCTGAATATAATAAACATGCAGTCAGGAGTTCCCGTGTTGCGAGCTGTAATTTGTGTCAGAAATGACCTGTCAATTATTCTTTTAATAAAAATAGTATCTTATAAAACCAGTCATATTCCTTGTAAAATTGCCTAAATTTAATCTGATTCTTCCAGTTAATGCAAACTATTGACAACAGAATTTAAAAAAATAGTTCCTTTCCTTTTTTTTTTTTTTTTTTTTTTTTTTTAATTGTTTTTGGTGATTCAGATTTTCCTTCACAGTGTTGGTAATTCAACTCCTTTTAAAGAAAATATACTTCTTTGAAGAGGATACAGTTTATCAGAGAAAGTGAAATGATTTGACCTGAACTTCCATTTAAAAATAACTTGTTGCTGCTTCCCAAATATCTTAAAGATCAATTACTTTTATTTCTGTATGGATAATATTTTTATTATTTTTTTGCAGTTGTTCTGTCTAAATAGTTTCAGATTATAGATTAAAGTTAATTTTTTTTAAAAAGAAGTGGAGTATAACAGAAGTACGAAAATACCCCCAAATCCTGACACTGAATTCCAAGCTTTCCCTCCTGCTTGTTCACTGCAGGTGTGGTGCAGAACAGTGACAAGTAATTGTAAGCCACTGTTTTCTGGGAGTTTTGCTAGAGAATAAAGATCATTGACTTTTTCCCTTTAAACAGATGAGCGCAATGTGGACAAACTGACAAATTAATAAGCTTTTTGATTAATGAATCCACTTTTGTTTGTTCTGGTTTTTGCATTGTTGTTGACTTGTTATCCAAATGGAACTGAATTTGGACTCAGAATAGATACTGTGAACCCAATTTGCAGTTTTCTTTTTGAAGTTGGTTCTTTGGTTAACTTTTCTGTTTTGTTTCATAATTCAGACTTTCTTTTTTAAAGGCTAAATTATTTGCAATGAAGCTTTAGCAAAAGTATTTACTTGATTTTGAATGAGAGAGGAGAGTCTAGTTATTTAGATGAAAAGCACATACTTATTTTTAGAACCTGTTAGCCAAGGGATGGTGAGTAGAAGGGGTATTTAGTACTGCACATCTAATGTCATCCCACTGTATTAGGAAGGTGGGATACACTATACCACTGCTGTGATCAGACAGGTAACACTTTCTGAGCACATTAAAATAGGGGGGGGAAATCTGTACATGGTTGATAGAGGAGCATAGACGTACTGGAACATGTTATGGGTAAAAACAGATTGCTGTTGCAAACCTGGAAAAATTCCTCCCCTCTTATTTGATTAATGTAAAGTGTCGACTGAATATGTGCATATAGTCTTGGAACTTACGTGCTCTGATTCTGCAGGAATTAGGTTTAGTTTTTAAAGAAACTAAACCAAAATCTTTTCCCTACCTGTGCCAAAAAGAGGTGTAGCTATCATAGCAAGAAACCTCGTGAAGTTTTTTTGATGTAAATTGCCTCCTAGAGCCATTGCTTTGTCCTATCTGCAACAGTAACTCTTCTGTCTAAATTAATCTCAGCAGAGAAGTTAGTTCTAAGCCTCAGTGCTAATACTTGGTGTTAATATTAAACAATAAGCAAACAACCTGGTAAAACATACAGGAAAAGTGTTGAGCAAAGATTTGGTAAGAGAAATGATGAGGAAAGTAAGACGAAGAACTGTTAGACAGGAAGTAACAATTCACAGGAGAACATAGGTAGGGAAAAAATCAGCCAAAGACTAGAAGTATTTGAGATCATAAAGATGATTAGTTTCCTCAGCCAGTGCTTCTAAACAATTTTATTCTTTATTATGTATTAACTAAGTTTGTAAATGTCATTGTCTAATATTAGGTTTTTCAGTGCAAGCAGCAGCAAGAAACCAGCTATGAGTCATATACATACATTGTGAAATTCAGACTCTATACTGTAGATAATAATTAAAATGAAGAGTATCCTGCTTTGATGAATACTTGTCCTGTAGAATGTATATGAAATATTTCATCAATTTGATGTTTCTTGCCACCTTTTACGATAGGGGTGGCTCATCAGAGTCTTAAGTAATAAGGTGTCTAGGGAATTAAATACCAAGAATTTTGCAATGGATGAAGGGATAAAAAGCACATCAAACAACCAAAACCCCCCAAACTCATACCCTCCTTCAAAAAAACTCCACCAAAAAGCCAAATCCAGAACTGAGCACTGAAGTAAGATGATGTGGTGGGTGATAGTGGTGTGGGTTGGGTGTCCGTTGTGTCCCCCCTGTCCTGTCCCCTCTCCTGCTCAGATGTCTACACTGTATGTGCCCACTAGTGTCCTGGACTTACTTGGCAGGTGGGATTGGGGTGGTGGGAGGAAGATTCAGGGACTTTTAGGCAGTATTTTGTCTCATTTCTGCAGTTGACATCTAAAATAAGTTCAGTGAATCATTGCTGAAAGGGGCCTTTGTGCTCTCCATTGGGTGCACGAAGCCCAGGGCAGGCAGCTCATCTCTGTCAGAGATGGCTAAAATTAGGTGAGACGGATCCCACTCAAATGGTCAAAATTAGCTTTGCATACACACCTCTAACTCTGCATTTAAACTCTTTTCTTGGCACTTTTCTAGTGTTCTGTTTGTGTGAGCTTTCTGAATCTTGTCTGCAGTCGTTTTATGGACATTATAAACACAGGTATCCATTTCTTTGTGATTTCCCCATTATGACCCATCTCCTACAGCTACATGAGAAAAGAATCTTCTCCAGCAGCTGAAAACAGTTAAAGAGAAATGCTGTTTAATTGAAAAAAAGCTGTTGTTATTCCAACTGTATTTGAATTGTGCTGAAGAAATTAAACAATCTGGAAGAAGCTTCTCTTGCTTTAGCATCACTGAGCTTCCTACAGTCTGCTGCTGTTCCCTCCAGTGTCAGAGGAACAGTTTAGTGCATAGATTTGCAATGCCCTTTTCCAGTGTGAGTTTTCCTTGTGAGAATACTGGTCATTAGAGCCTCCACTCTCATAGGTGGGCAAATATCTGAGGTTAGGAATATTGGCATTTTTGAGTCCTGAAAAATTTCTGTGGCCTCAGTAGTTCAAACATTACAAGTGAGTCTTTCATTGTTGTATAGTAAACACAGCCAAAGATTCAACCTTTTTTAAAAATGTATGCATCCTGTAAGACTGCTTTAAAGTTAGCCCACCAAACTTAAAGAAGGGATTGAAGGTAAAAATGAAAAACAAGCACCTATAAATGCTACACTTCTGGAACACATTGCACTGGTTTCATCATAGTTACTTTCCTTTTTTTTGTAACATTTGAGGATACAACTTTATAGAACAACTTGAAATATTTGTAACATAAGGTCAGTTTGTGAGAGACCTTGACAGTTGTACATAGTCAAGGTCTTATTGTTCAGTATATCATGCTGTTTATCGCAGCTGGAGCTTCTTGGCAGTAGGAAGTATAATTGTTCCAGTTTGACAGCGTGCTGAACTTAAGCAGCTGTCTGGCCTTGTTGAGGTCAGTATTGAGAGAAGACCTTGTAAAACTTTAAGGGCAGAAGACCTTTCTGCAAATTCTTTAAAAATTCAGTCGCTACATAATTTCTAACAAAATCATGATGTCCTGTTTATAAATGAGAAAAATCAGCCTTAAGTCAATAGTCAGGTGAGATTAATCATTAATAGTTTAAGATATAAGCAGTACAAAAGTAAAATTAGCAGGTATCTTACTCAAGCTAACTGGAGGGGTGTTACTGACTTACGAAAAATGTATTATCTGCTTGCGAAATTCTTTTTTTTCCTCTTCTTTCTGCTAATACAGCTTTTCATGCTATTTTCTTTTAGTAAAGTGATAAACTGTTGCATTAGGTTGTTACTTTATTTGATTTTCAGAAATGAGGATGTTCCTCAACAGACTTTTGGTATCTGTATGCTCTTGCCTGTTCTTAAGAGGGTGCTCTTCCCTTGCCATGAGTCTAAACTCACTCAGTTTCTTTTGCCTGGCTGTAATTACTGCAGATTGAACATAGAGTATCTGGCTTTTAGCAGACTGCCCCTTGTTGGAACAGCTATCTCCTGGTGCTCTATTGAGAATAAAGGGTTTACTCTTCCTTGACACTTGGGTGCCCAGCAGGGCTTTGTCCTGGTAGGAAATATTGAAGCAAAAAGATTGCTAAATCTAGGGATGCTAAGTAGCTGACAGAGTATTTTAATAATGTATCTGAGAATGTCTGTTATGGGACAATTTGTATGAATTGTCAATTTATAATGTTTTATAATATTGTTTCAACAAAGTGCTATTAATCTCCTAATGACAAAGCAGTTGTGACATTGTGCAATGTTTGATTCACTCTCAGGAGATGCAAATTTCTTGGGCTCTAAGCCAGTAGTTCAAGTAAGACTCAAAAGAAGAAGTGCCAATTTCCTTTTTTCTGTTGAATTTTTAATTATGTCATTAGCTTTCTAATGCTTGCCGCTGTTAACAGTGGCAGAAAAGGATTAATCAGTCATTATCTGATGAAGGACCACTTCAGCTTTCTGTAGACATTGATGGATGGTTACAATTTCAGGCTGTTCCTCGTATTGCTCTTTATTTTGTCCAAAGGCATTTGTCTCGTGCTTCTTGTGCCTTATGTTTGGGGTCCTTCACAATAGCTCATGTCTGCTAGCCCATAAATTAGTCTTTTTCCCATTGTCTAACATTATTGCATTCCATCCTACTGTGGTACAAAAATTAGCCAACACAGTTTCTTCTGTGCTTGTTTCACAGGCTCACAGGCTTTCTGTCAAAGTCCTTTGATGAATAACTAAATATAAACTACAGAAGGTTAAATATCTTGTTATATAATATCTTTTTAATGGAAACACAACAGATGGTATCTGCTAAGAAAAGGTCACTCAGGCTGGATTATATCATCTTCTTACATGTGCTTAGGAGCAGTGACACAGGGAAGTGTTGAGTTATCTTTTACATGTGTGTTATCCCAGTGGAATTCATACAACAGCCTGACCAACATACAGGTGGATTAAAGGCAGAGACCTGGAGTCATGCCCAGGTGTCTCACCTCCCTCCTGGATGCCTTCACAAGGATGACTGAACTATATGTGAAACAGCAGTTGGATCGCTGTTACCTAACGTTGATCATTTTAATGTAAACTGTAACTGCTTTGTAGTATTTTTTGTGTTCTGTAAACTGTGGTTGTGCATGAGTTGTCCCACATGCAGTTCAGTTGTCCCTGCTGCTGCCTGACATTTTCTTCTATTTGTGAGCCAACGCTTCTAAAGACATTTGAATCGAGCTCTAAAATTAGATTTTATTGATTAGACTAAGTTCATTCCAGTTTCTCAGGAACAGCCTGTAACAGGCTTGTATGAAAACAAACAGTTTAGTATTGTGTCTGTCTGTCAAATTGCTTCCTTTCCATCAGATTTAGGTGGGATTACTTGTGTTTGTGTATCCTGTTTCATACACTAGAAAGTGTCTGAGCTTTTTCATTCAGCAAAGTAATGTAGTCATGCATTAAGTTTGCTTTCCATCTCCTATTTTTACAAGAAGATAAGACATGAAAGCAGGTGTTTTCTAACAGTTCTGAAGTGAGATGGAGTGTATGTGGATGAAATGCAGGCATCGTGGAAGGTTATTTGAGATTCCTGGATAGCTAAGAAATAAAGTCTCTTTCCTTCAGGGAGGAGGTTTTATAAAGGAACAGTGAAGAAAAATGAGGTGAGAAGAGAAAGAAGGACCAGAAAAAACTTACAGGGCAGTTGTTTCACATGTTGGCATTTTGATGGGGATGGTATGGTTAATCTGTTTCAGTGTTTGATCACTGAAAACTAAGGCACCTCTTTAAATATTGCGCATACATATTTTTAAGGTCTGAAAATTAAGTATGAATTAACTGAAATTGGCTATCTGCAAAATCAGTTGGAAGAGATAGACGATCTCTGAAGTCCACATGTTTAGCATGGAAAGCTGCTGTGCAGTGGAAGTGCTGAGCAGAGGAGTGTGCACATCTCTTGCCTTTTTCAGACTTATGGTGCTTGTGTTCCTGTCTGCTATTATTAATAGAGCACAGGTTCTTCAAAGGGCACTGATACCCAAGTGAGCAGCACTTGCTGCTAAAATCAGCGCTGCTGTGTGAGATGGTAATACTTCTTTACACTAAAGAAAACTAAGTAGTTAAACCAGCTTGCCTCGAGAGGGATTCTAGATCTTCCTCAGCCTGAAGGGATTGAAATGAGCATCTTTCCTTTCCTAGGAGAAGACAAATCCCATTCCTTCCTTCTCTGCCCCAGCAGCTGCTCAAACTTGCAGTGGCTTGGAGCATCGTTCCCTCGTGTTGAATCTATGCTGTTATGTGGAAAAGAAGAAAAAACATTTTTAGGGGTAGAGTGTAGCCCAGTAATGAAGGCTCTGAGGTGAGCAGGCAGAATAGAATACTTTCAATTTGAAGGGACTGACAGTGCTTATCCAGTCCAGGACCACTCCAGGGGTGATCAGAAGCATGTTGCTAGGGGCATTGTCCAAACACCTCTTAAACACAGCCTGGCTTGGGGCACTGACCATCTCTTTAGGAAGCCTCTTCCAGTGTGTGACTGTCTTCTCTGTAAAGAATTTTCAAGTCTAGACTTGAATTTTAGTTTCTTCTTCCACAGATTTTCCTGTTGGTATTTTTTTGTGTTTTCTTGTTCAGTGACTCTCTGGAACAAAATGCTGAAGCAATTCTAGAAAAAAAATCTCATGTGTCCTACTTTTATGCCATTGTGTAAGTTACAGGCAGTTGTGTAAAAGCATTGGTTCCCACGTATAGATGCTGCTCTTCCAGATGTGTTTTTTAGTGGAGCTGATCCTGATGATTGTGTTTGTGTGTTGTGTATCCTTCTCCCTGTGGTTTCACAGCTGGCTAAAATCCAGTCATCATTGAGCCTGCTGCTACAAAGAAGTGAAGGCCCTGCCCTCCATGCTGGCTGCTCATTCCTGCCTGTTCAAGCATTTGTGATTTTTCTCTTTAATCCAACTTAAATTAATCCTTTATTTATTTAATTTTGAGGTCAGTTACATGAATGAACTGATCCAACTTACTCTGTCGTGAAGCTACTGCTGGAGCTGATATAAAAGAAGTGGCAGGGAAATGTGCCATGTGTGTTTTTTGGCTGTAGCAGGTTAAGTCTTAGGCACATTCATAAAATGCCTAATTGATTGTGTTGCCCTGGATAAAGAAAGCATAGATACTTTGCTGTCTTGTTTCTGGATCACAACAGAGCTTGTGTGAACATCCTTTTTTCCCAGACTGGGGTATTTCAAGGTGTGCACAAATGAGTAAGTTTAGGTTCCATGGAAGCTATAGGTCAAATGGGGAGTCATCTGTTGAGTGTGAGGAATGGCCATGGCTTTCAGCTACAGGTTTGGTTTAGCATTGTCTTGAACTACAAATGCTTAAACGTTGACTAAGTTGAGTACAAATATGAGGCTTAGTACAGAAATTTTGTGATTTGGGCAAACTTTATTCCCTCACAGGTTGAGAGATTCCCATGTTTCATTTTGAAAGGGTAAAAGCATTGATTGTTACAGCATGTGAGCTGCAAGTTAATAAAAGAACAGAGCAAATGCATAGAATTTGTTAATGCTGTTAAAGAAACAGAGGGGACTGTATCATTCAGTTTGTATGTGACTAATTATTGAAATGAATGTGTTACAAGTACATGAAATACACTGAGTTGCTTATAGTATAAACAACTGTGCTGATCACATGTTGAGCACCATCACTAAGCCTTCTTACTCAGTATTTACATTTTTACTAAAAACTATTCTGCAGCCATCGGGCAGCTTATATAATCCTCTTGGTTTCAAAGAAATAAAATCTGTTCAACCAATCTTCCCCCATCTGTCTCTTGTAGCACTGCTCTTCTATATGGAAGGCTTATAGCTCCCTCCAGAGTTCTGTTCTGTGCTGAAACAGAGGGGAAAAAACGATTCACTGTAAAAGAATTGTATTCTGTGCTCACATCATGTTATATATATGACTCAGTGTTTCACTAACAGGCTGAGCTACGCAGTGCTTTTGAATTTGCCTGGGTTTTTTGGTAGCATAATGATTTACTTACAGAATTTGAAGACATTTAGGGATTTAGTTACTCAATTTCTTCATTTTTCTATGTCTCCTTACGTGTATTCACTGGTTTTCAGAAAGATGAATTGTAAAAAGGAAAAAAGAGCCTCCATACAGTCAAGACAGTGTATTATAAGGAATAATGGGCTGACTGTAGATATATATAATATATAATATATAATATATATTATTGTTCACTAAACATGGACAGGAATGAGGTACTCAATTTATGCACATATTTCAAAATGGACTTGGGGCTGAAGTAAAGAAAATGCCCTGCATTCCTATACTGTGATCTTGTCATATAATAGAGTAAGGCTAAGCACACATTGTGCTAAATATCTAAGTTGCTGCCATTCAGATAAAGAATTGATATTTGGCCCAGCTATTAACTAAGATACAAACAGTACTTCTAGGTCTTGTCTAACTTAAAATTTATGAACTGTTTATAAGTGGTGCTAATCAAAGAATCTCTTTTAGGTTATCAACTTTTGAGTAGCCTTCCTTTTGTTTATATTTGAATCATTACAAGTATGTCAGATATGGAGGTCTTTTATGGATCTTGTCGAAGAGATTCAAGATATTCCTGAACTGGTCATTAACTGGGAAGTTTGTATGCATTTGATGTTGTCTGCATTAGAGAATGGAAGTTGGCTGGCTGAAAGAATAGAAAAGTGTTAATCAGAACTTACGAAGAATTTTTCTGTTTTTCTGAACAAGGCCACAAGGTCCCCTGTGAAATTTCTTAGTTGATAATGAAAACTGCTATGTTGTGTGTGTTTTATTGTTGGGTTTTTTTGCTTGTTTTTAACATATGGTGATACAGTTTCATCCATCTTAGAAAAAAAATTACAAATTAGCATCTACTCCAATGCTGCTGCTCTAATTTTACAACCCTTTGGGTTTCCTGGCAGAGCCCTTGTTTGTCACAATGACCAAAACACATGTGATAGCAGCTTCTAAAGAAGCATTTTACGTCTGGCAGTATCGTGTGGCCAAGAAGCTCACAGCAATGGAAATCAATCAGGTAGCACGGACCAGAAAGGAAGGCAGAGAAAGGTTTGTCTTCAGGCTTTGTCATTTATCTTCCTTTGCATTGGTGTCATTGATAAAGGTGGATTCTCCCATGCCTGAAATGTAAACTCTTGTCTTCATTTTTCTAACCAGTTTTTGCTGCCTTGCAGGCCTCTAAGATTAAATACTAGTTTTTCATAACAAATGTGTGTTTGTTATCCAAATCTCTTAGATGTTTTTGGATAAGATCCTGTTCAGTGTCTTCATTTGCTTCTCTTACAGAGCTGTGTGTCTTGATGCCTTTTTACCCCTCCCATTTTTCTCCTCCATGCTCTTATTTTCCAGGCAGTTATATTCTGTCTGATAACTTTAACTGCTTCTTGTGTGTCAGTGGCTGTGAGAACATAGTCTGTCCAGCTGGTTCTTCTCTAAATACACTCATGTCTGATTGTGGCTTTGGCAACTAATCCTGTATGGACTTTTATCCTCTCAAACTAAACAAGCCAAAGTCAACATCATTTTGCCTCTAAAATATTTCCTCTCCAGGTGATCATTTGTGACATTAACTTTTCTGTCACATCCACAAGCTTGCAACTTTTTGGGGTTTTTTTGGTGTTATTTTATGTGTTCTTCCATAGACACAGTGCTGTGTCTTTCCATAAATCTACCATCTCCTGTCACTGTATACCCATAATAATAAGTAATTTTTTGTACATGGTGTAATAGCTTACATTGTTATAGGGCCTGAATGTCCTGTCCTTGGACAAGTTTGTAAATTTGATAAAAATACTGAAAAAAGTAAATAGTTGTAATTCAGCAGTAATGATTTTAACATTCTAAAATCTTTCCTAACACAACTTTTTAAGGCAAAAGAGAAGTTATGATGAAGTATTGAATAATGCAGTAATACATATGTTTTGTAGAGGTGAAGATGAAGCTCTTCATAAGTATGGAGAACAGCCTGTGGAAATATGGAGGTGCATGTTTGAAAAGAGACAACTGAATGGTTGTTGGTTTGCAGGAACTAGTTGCAGAATGAAAGTTTACAGATCATACGGGAATGGACCATCAGGGGCTGTGAAAGTGAAGCAATTACCTTATCTTTGTATCAATGGAAAGCAGGTTTATCAAAGGGGATATCATTGGAACGTAAGAACAGACATAGCTTTTATTCTGTTCTCTGAATCCAATGGTTTCTTCTCCAAGGACTGAAGATACTTTAATGGTATAAAAGATGATCCTTTGTTTGGGCTCACTTTTTCTTTTAACTTTCCTTTTCTACAGGATCTATCATATTGATGACACCTCTTCAGGGTCGGCAGATGGGCACCTTGATTACAGCAGAGCAGTTGAAGTCAGTGATGTTTTGAACTACTTTATTGTGGTGTCCCTGATAGCTTAAAAGAGCAGTCCTTAGTATTGCTTTATTTATTGTCACAGATTTTCATTAGTAGAAGTTGTCACACTTGAACTTTTTTTTACTTCTACCTTTTTTTACGTAAGCGTTATGTCTCTTCCCTCTGGTTAGTGAGGTTACTGTGTCATTTTGTATCATTGGAAATATGCAGCAAGCTACAGGAAACATGGAAAAAGTAGATTCTGGGGTACATTATGTAGGCACCTACTGTCTGCTTGGTCAGAAGCAGCTCTCCTTACGTCAATCAAGTATAAGCTTGTTAAAACTCAATAACCCTTGTAATATTTTCTAGTATTTTCAACCATTTTTACTTTATATGTGTGTATGTATGTGTGTGTGTGTGTGCTGGCTGTACTTAGTAATACACCTGAAATTAATTAAAGGCCTCACAAGTCAGGGATAGTTGTCCTGTGTTTTCTGTTCAACACCTATTACATTTTGGGATACTTAGTACTTGGGGTACTACTTGGTTTTTTATTTTTCTGGAGAAGAGGCAGGAGAAGAAAGGAAGTTCTTAATATTATTGTCATGTTTCCCCTAACAAAGGCTATTAATGCCAAAAACCATCCATATACTGTATAGGACAAGGTTTCATAGCCCTTTTTCATGTGGATACCCAGCAACATTCTTGTATATTTAAATAAACCTTCTTTCTTTAGCAGGGCATTCTTACCTTTGCAGTAAAACTGGTACTGATATTGCTTGTATGCTTTCAGGGAACAAGAGATCCAATTTGTGCAATAACAGCATCTGATAAGATACTACTTGTGGTAAGTTACATGACTAAAACAGCTCCTAATTGCCTCTTGTGCTTCTAGGCATGAGATTCTTCTGCTGTATGTTCATAAGCAGTCATAATTTCAAAGCATTTCTGAATTTAGAACTTAGATGAAATCTCTTTCTAAACTTCCTCAAAGATAACTTTAAGAATTTGTTCCATTAACCTGGATTCTTTCCTTAGTTGAGCAGAACAAAGACAGAAAAAGAACACTGTTTTAAAATTTTTTCTACCTTCCAAGAAGGATCTTGATGTTTTCCCATGTTCCTACTCCAGTGATTTTGTTTGTTTGTTATATCCTTTGAACTGGATTTTACAAAATCAATGGGTCATGGGAAAAAAGATGAATGAAGAATGTGACAGTTAGTAGGTGACTTGGGATCCTGTTTGTGCTTGAAGAGTGAAAAATGAAATTAAGACAATAATTAATCAGTGACTTTGGTTAAAGGGAAGAGAGTGAGAGGAAGTGCCTTTGAGACCAGATCTGGATAAATGTGCTGAAAGTGAATGCATATTACAGTGGTTCAATTTTCTAACACTTCTGCTTTTTAGTTTTTAGTTTATACAGATGTGAAAAAGTCAAAGATAGAGAGTTTTTGTGGAGTATCTTAGGGGTGACTTTGGGGAAATTAAAAAGAAGGAATAAAGTTTGGACACCTTTAATGTTGGCTCATTCCCAGTATAAGAGTTGACCAGTAGGTAAACCAAGCTGGATATGTTGTTTATTCTACAGACATACCATGAGAAAATAGTGGCAGTGATCATTTCAGTCCAGGGATATCAAACTCCTTTCAGACTATTTGCCTGACAGTGCCTTAACACAGTGGCAGTGTCATTCAGCAAAATAGAGAGAAACTCCGTTAGTACTTAGATGTGTTTTCTGTTGCCAGAGCCTGTGAATAACCAGTGTATTTTACAGCATTTACTTTTAAAACTACCTCAGGTCTTGAGGTAACTTGTGAGACTTGTTAGCATGCAGACAGCCCTACATGAGCACAGCTGTCCTGCTTTCAGACACAGGCTGGTGCTGTCATAGGGCACTGCTTAGGGGATTTACCAGCATGGGACAAGGATCTTTTCACTGTTCCTCTTGTTTGTTATGTAGCTGTCTGGAGGTTCATGGGAAATCATTGGGCTCCTGGCACTGTTCTGTGGGCTGTATGTGGACTATAGCTGTTTGTTTTAACCTCTCTGATTTAAGCAGATCTGTCATATGTAGCATCTCAAAGTATCTTGTTTAAATGGCAAGATTCAGAATTTTTAGAGTGATGACATTCCCTCTTTCCACTTATGCTCTGTCACTTATCCAAAAGCACTTTTATCTAAGAAAGCATATAAATAAAAGCATTTTAAAGAGTTTACTGATGGAAAAGTCTTCTCACTAAGGCAGTATTGCTTTTCTGTAGGGAAGAGAATCTGGCACTATCCAGAGATACAGTCTCCCTAGTGTGGCTGTAGTGCAGAAGTACACCCTGAACTGCCGTGCCTATCAGCTGTCTTTGAACTGCAACTCCAGGTAAGTTGTGGGTCTTCTTCTAACACAGCTATCCAACTGCAAAACAAAGCTCCAAAATTTGTGAAAATATTAATTGTGTGAAATCTGTCATTCTACAACAATTATGTGCTAATTTTAATTTGCTATAAACTATTTGCTAATTTTAGTTGTTATTAATCATTGCTTAACCATTTATTTATTACTAGTTAATTTCCTCTGGACAGTCATCAGATTGCTCTGAGAGACAGTGTTGGTAAATCTCTCCAGTGCTTTACACTCTTAAAGGTTTATACATGACAGTATCTTTGTTTGATTAGATGGACCAAACGTCACCTTCCTGTGATCGTGACATGAATTAACAAAATTATGTAATAACCTGAAACTTCATATCTCTATGACTTCTTTCTATTTCTATGTCCTTCTAATGCCTGGAAACTTTGTTCATCCATATTAATTTTCTGTTGTTACAAGCTGTAACTGGTGGTAATGCTTCTAGCACGACTGCTTTTCCTGAGCTTCAGTTGTGCCAATAGTGAAGTTGCTTTCTACTTAACAGCTGTTTTTTTGCAAGAGAGCACACAAGAGTCTTGGCAGAAAAGGCAAAAATATACTGGCTAGAGAACTTGCAAGACAATTTTAAATCACTTCAAAATAACTTCATAATTTCAAGTAAAATTAATGGTGCATGGGTAGATCTCTTGTATCTTAAGGCATAGCCCCAAAATAGACTGCTTCACTTAAAAGGCTAGTCAGAGCTGCATTCATTTTGTTTTGGGTCCAAGTTGTTTCCTTCCTAAATGGTTTTGTGCTAAAGGGCTTGGAAACATGAGCATTTTCAAGTTAATTTTGTAAATTGCTTTTGAAACTTTAATAGGGTTTACAGGTGTCTACCTGTCAATATTTAGAAAGGCTTTTAAAATGGCCTTGTAGTAAATATGATTCAGTGAAGATCTATGTAACTGGAAATTTTCATATGTAGCCTTTTAGAAATTGTGTTTTTCCCACATTTTAAACGACTTCCAAGATTAATTGGAAAAAACTAAATGATGCCCTTTGAAGAAATGCAAGAAATCCTGTTTTAGGGATTAACAATCTGTATCAACACACTGACTTTTTAATTTAAGAATCTGCTTCATTGCCTCCGTGTAAATAAGGAAAACCAGTTCTGTTCAGTTGTTAATTTTAGTCTTTGTCAAGAAAAGTTTGGTGAGGGATAGAACCTGTAATTTGCTCAACTTGATATCTGATGTACTAAGGATCTTCAAAATGCTGGATGAAAAACTGGGCATATTTCGGAGCCTTTGCAGGGCCAGATCCTGCATGAGCAGATGGAAAACTTCTTTCCATGTCTCTAGTCTCTGCTGTGCAGAGAAATGAAAATCACATGCATCTGTGCTGGTTTTGGCACACAACAGCATCTCACTGAATCCCCAGAATTGTCCTGTGCCGGTTTAGAGAATGTTTCAGATTTACAGCCTTGAGCAGTGTTATTTAGCTGTCTTATTTTTATTTCCTTTGTTTTTCTGTAGTCGTCTTGCTATCATAGACCTTTCGGGGGTTCTGACTTTCTTTGACTTGGATACAAGGGCAGTAGACAGCACAGGACAGCAAGTGATAGGTGAGCAGCTGAAACTGGAACGCAAAGATGTCTGGGATATGAAGTGGGCCAAAGATAACCCAGATTTGTTCGCAATGATGGAGAAGACAAGAATGTATGTTTTCAGAAACTTGGATCCAGAGGTAAATATTCACACACATAAACTACTCATTTTACAACTTTGCTCATAAGTTCATGGATAGTCTTGAATAGCATTATTCTTGTGCTTAACATTCAGTTAACTGTTTATTTATATAAACTTGTTTCTGGAAATCTCAAGATCTTACCAACTCTCATGTGGGAATGCTGTTTTGGAGCAAATAAGTAAAATGAACTATCAGTCCTGGAAACATAAAAACACTCATATTTTTCTTAAATGTACAAGATCTTTTCAGGAGCCTATTTTTTGGTGTACTTTGAGAAATATAAATGCAATTGTAGTAGTGGTACTTGTAAAACACAGTTCAGTTGAATCTAAGTATTGGCAGGTGTTTTTGTTTTCTCATAATTGAGTTACAGAAAACATGAGGATTTTTTATGATGTTTGTGTTTATAGAATTGTCAGTAATGACTGTAGTATTTGTTTGCTGTAGAATGCAATTGAATCCTAGTTTGGAGAAGAATGTATCAATATGTATCCATAACAGATTTAGTTAGGATTTAATCAAACAGAATAAATGTTCATTCCTTTGTAACTTATTTAACTTTAAGGAACCTATACAAACATCTGGATATATTTGCAACTTTGAAGATTTAGAAATCAAATCTGTCCTTCTGGATGACATATTAAAGGTAAGTATAATGAATCTTACTTTGTAGGAAATTTGTTGTCTGTCTCAATGCCAGTAGATACCTATGGTGGATGAAAATAAAGGTCATATGGAATAAAACTATGTTTCTTTATCCATTATGTTAGAATCCTGAACATCCTAACAAAGATTATGTCATCAATTTCGAGATTCGGTCGTTACGAGACAGTCGAGCATTGATTGAAAAAGTTGGCATTGAGGAATCTTCCCAATTCATAGAAGACAATCCACATCCCAGACTTTGGTAAAAATCTCTTAGAGACTTACTTTGTTTAAATATGTGTTATTTTCTATTCATTTCCTGTTCAGAGAGATTTAATATGAAAGTACAGAACCTCAAATTAAAACCAGCCAAAGCAGCATACAATGTACACAGAATCAGTTAAGATTTAATGCATGTTGTAGTAGTTAGAATGGCAGGAATGTGGGGTGTGCCTTGGGAGTGGGTATAAGGTACAGGCTCAGGACACCTGCTCTGTGCTGTCTGAGTCCCCAGATGCAGTGCTTCCTGCTTTTAGGGGTGAGTTTAAAGGAAATGTCAGAAAGCTAACTTAAAGTTGGTTAAATTAAAATTTAAATGTACATATTTGATACTGAATTTTGATGAGCAAGAGCTTAAAACCCAGTAAAGGAAACACATCAGAATGATAGCAAGATAAGAACAGTCTGACTAACCTTGAAGCATTTTGGACAGGCCATAAAGGACAGAGATGAGAGGGGCTGGGTACGTTAATCTTGTTATGATGCAGCATCTCAGGAGTAATCTGAGAAATGGAGATGCTGGCATGCTTAAACTAAACACGGACTCAGCTGTTAAACTAAACCTGAAATGCCTGCATAGCAACCATGTAAGAGCAAACCTGTGAAAACAGGAGTTTGGGACATCTGTTTAATATCCCAAGCTCTAAGGGCTGGAAGAGTAAATGCCTCAGTAGGTAATTTAATGAAGAGTCAGTGTTAGAACCCAAAACTTTGTTGACAAGTTCCTTGATGAATGGAAGCCAATTCTCTTTAACTCTCTGGAGATTATTTCTTTATCTGCACCTTTCTTTAGTAATTTTGGCTCTGTTTTGAAGCAAAGTGATTTCTTGCAGTATTGGATGTTTGGCTTGACAGTTCAGAGGGGAATTTAGAGTTGCTGAAAGACTGGCCAAGACAGCTTGCTTTGAAAATTTGTCCCAAAGAGCATTCCTTCCTATCTATTTAAGCTTTTGTCTCCAGAATGTTCATTCTGAAAACCAGGATTTGCTAGTTACATATTGAAAGTTTCTGTAATACTACTGTAATTTTATTAGCTTAAGTGTGGAGGGTAAAATGTTTTGTGAGTCTTCGTTTTTACTAATGTTGTGCGCTAGCTGAAGATTTTTGGAGCTTTGAAGTCATTCCTGCCTTTTGCTAGTACCATCTGTTCATTTGATAGAAAATGACTTAATTTTGAAAGTCTGTGTCTCAGGTTTTATATCATAAAATCACAAACTATTTGTCAAATTCTGTTCGCCTTGCTCCAGAATTGCCATGAACTTATTTTTATTATGCAAGGAAAAGCATCACAGATTTATAAAGAAGAGAGATTAGAATTACTGGACATAAAGTAAATACATTCCAGCTCAGAACGGGACAGTGCCCTTACTTCTAGACTGTAACAGACAGGATTATGGGAGTCACAGATGGATTAAAATTGTCATAGTGTTCTTCTCTTGGTTTCTTTGTCAGTGATGAGCACTTGAGTTGAAATGACACCATCCTTCTCAAATTGATTAAAAAATATGGAGTAGATACTGCCTAAGTATGGCTTAGGTCACAGAGTATAGCAATATTATTGTTTGTGTCAGTGCCCTCCTGTGCTTTGTTTCACAATGCCAATTGGCCAGTCTAAATTTAACTAGCCTTATTTTTGCAGAAAATTCTAGAGCTCATGCTAGCACCTGTTGGATGTAGTTTGGCCTGAAGGTAGAAATTCGCTATTTGCAGAACTAAACAATGGGACAGTACCAGTACAAGGTTTCCCAAAGTTCCTTGCTCTCTGACTGCTGCCCTAACTGGACAAGGAACATCCAGATGGATGAGAAGGCTAATCTGTTTCTCACAGCCAATGTAGTTAGAGGCTTTTAGACTGAGGATGCCATCAAGGCTCAAAGCTACGACAAATGCATAGGTAGAAATCTCTAAATGGAACTGCATTGAGACCAGCAACACGTTTCACTAAGGACAAGTGTAACAGTCAAACCCTGTCCATTCCTCCCAAGCTAGTGTCCATTTGACAGCTGAACAAAAGAATATTAGTTGAACATTTTCCCTGAGCAAGTACTGGACAGATCACAGAACATACTGGGGATGAACACAACTGAATTAAGATCAGTTCACAAACAACAGAATTGCAGTAACTTGAATGTCTTTAAATAATTACCAGTGAAATGGATCCTCATTTAATTTACTCTGTAGCTGCTTTTCCATATGTTTTGTTTGTTCACACAGGCGGCTCCTGGCTGAAGCTGCCCTTCAGAAGTTGGATCTGCAGATGGCTGAACAAGCTTTCGTGCGTTGCAAAGATTATCAAGGTATTAAATTTGTGAAGCATTTGGGCAACCTGCAGAGTGAGTCTATGAAGCAAGCAGAAGTGGCAGCCTACTTTAGCAGATTTGAAGAAGCTGAAAGAAAGTATCTGGATATGGACAGAAGGTAATTCATGGAATCATCTCAGCAGCAAATAAAGAAAAATCTGGGAAAGAACCCGAAAACATGCCTTAATCACGAATGGCTGTTTTAGCACTGAGGGCTCCTTACCACTTTCTCCAAAGGCATAAAAGAATCAGATGGAAAGAATTTTGTTGTATCCATAGATAACTAGTTCTATACGTAAATCAGTGCATTCCAAACTGTTTGCAAAGCCTCAGCTGCTTTAGGTAGTGCTGTGTCTCATAGATGTTTTTTCTCAAGTATTTTGTTGGTATTTCAATTGGAATTCCAAAAATACAAACAGTCTTAACTAATGTTTAATTTATGTGCTGCTGCTCTTAGCTAGTAGCCAAGTACACATTCTTCCCAATTCCATATACAAACAACAGAGTTTTTAATGAACTGTCATCTCTGGAGAGACAGAAGGGACTCTGGATGAAATCATGGACCAATCAATGGAATTTTTGCTCAGGAATGAAAACAAACAAAGCAAAATTAGAATATTGCAGGGCATATGAATTAACAATAAGTAATTAGAGCATTGTCTCTACTGTAAAAGGCTAATGAGAACTAATCAGCAGCAGTTGTACAGTGTAGCCTGTAGATGGTGGTCAAACATGGAGAAACATGAATAACTTATGCACATGTAAAGTTTTTAAGCTTTGATTAATAGAGCCATGAAAAACAGTAGGGAATGATGGAGAAAAAAATTAGGTATTCTTTCATGCAGTAAGAATGAGAAACCTTCCTCTTTCCCAGTAAAGGTCAGGGGGGAGGCAGGAGGCAGGGGGAGAAGGCAAGAGCTGAGGAGGGATCACCAATAGAGCCTGATACAGACTTCTTGCACGTAGTTCCTTAGTTGATGTCAGTGTGCTGGTTTGGGGAGGTGGTCTGCCTCATGAGCACTTTAGTCACACAAACACCAATTTTCAGGTATGGCATATTCCTTTCCATATGGCTGAAGAGAAATTTGGCCATTAAAGGATTGCAGAAGTCAAAGACTTACCTTTTAAAAACTGATTTCTTCAACACTAGAGCATCTTATTCTCCAGCTACAAGAATATGGGAATTCTGTATTGACCTTATGTGTCTCCTCACCACTAGAAAAATCCTGATATGAAACTACCATAAATCAGGCTGAAATAAATAAATTTGCAAATAATTTTTAAGTGTTTTTAGATAGATGTTTTTATATAGCTGACTGTACTGACTTGCTGTTGCCTTCCTTAACTCACTTAGAAGTTTAGGGCATTTTTAAAAGGAGTGTATAGACCTCTCTCATTTATTTTCTAAGCACCTGCAGAATTACTTTTTTATGAAATGATATAAAATTACTCCATGTGGTGGAAAAACCATGCCAGACAGACACACAGTATATATGCATGGATAATGAAAAACTACTGCTGAGTCCTTTCTCCTTCATCCAAAGTCACCTTGAATTTGAAAGAAAAGTCTCTGAAATAGATTTTATTGCATCTCGGCTTTAACCTCCATTATTCATATTCCTTGCTCTTCGGCCTTTCCCTTCGTCTTCCCTCTTCTTTTAGCCTTTTGCAGCCACTGCCATCTCTTGTAGTGCTGAGCAATAAAAGACACAGAACGGAGTAAGAGGGAACCTGAAGTAGCATCAGCCCAACTGTCTTGTCACCTGCTCATTTAACTCCTCACACAGGAGTGTGGCTAGTAAGGAAGTGCATAAGTGTGATGTAACCTGTGAGCTCTCTATTTGCTCTGGGATCAGTGTGATATCTGCAATGCAGGTTATGAACACGAAAATATTTTTGGCTGCTTTTCTCAAGATTTTTGTTATCTACCTAATTGACTTTTCCCTGCTACTTTCCGTTTATCCTAGAGATCTTGCCATCGGGCTGCGGATCAAACTGGGAGATTGGTTTCGGGTATTACAGCTGTTGAAAACTGGCTCAGGGGACTCGGATGATGCCCTTCTGGAACAAGCACACAATGCTATTGGGGACTATTTTGCAGACCGTCAGAAATGGTATGTCCTGTAGAGGAATGAGTAAGAAGGAAATTAACAACGGAAATTATAAAACTGATGACAAGACTTAATTTATGAGGAGTGACAGACGTCAGGAAAGTTGGGATGGGATGATTTTGAAATTATGAGATTTAGCTCAGACCTTTATGGTTCCATGATATGATAAACAGAGAGCTTATGACCATCCATGTGAACAAGGAAGGTGATAAAAATCTCTGTGTTGCCAGAGGTCTGTCTGTTTCAGCAGAGGGGAGGGGAAGACAAATACCTATACAATTGTATTAGGCTGGATATATGTCGTGGTTTAACCCCAGCCAG